TGCTTCATAAGACAGAAAGAAAGAAAAGTCGTGGGGAGGGCAGTCCGGCGCGGCTTCCGCGTCGTCCTGCCGAAGCCAAGTTCACAGAATCCCGTGCGTCCATGGCACACCGCCGCGCCTCGGCTTCCTCCTTGTCTCGGCCTGGACAGCGTCTGTGTGCCCTCCCCCTCCGTACCAAACTTCCAACTCTTGATCCCAGGCCTGGCGTGGATCCCAGGGCGGCGTCGGTCAGGCGCAACTGCAGTTGGCAGATTTGTGGCATTTCTGGCATGGTGACAGTTGCGGAGGGATAAAAATCAGACGGATGTTCATCTGCAAAGCCGTGAGACAGTGACTAGGCCGGCGAATTTGTAATCTCTGGCATCACCCGTTTTGCGAGGGTGTACATCGAACATGCACCACGATGTGTTTGACGTTCTCAATCCTGCATATTGCGTATATGCACGAACAATTAATCTGGACAGAAAGGGAAAGTCACAAACTCTGTCCAGAATCTTTTCTGCCACGATGCAACCTGTCCCGCAGAGATTCGTTACGTCACAGAAAGCCTCGCTTAGAAGCTTTCGGAGCATACAACGATGCACAGATTGTGGGCGATCTCGTCGGAACAACTTACGGCAGTTACATCCGAGACTGTGGGCCCGACAGAAGAGTGCTTTGTCGAAGCATACCCCCGCCCGATTCTGCTACCTTCTGCGCAACAAGGATTTCTGATATTGAAGTTTTGTTCTGGATTTCTCTGTTTTTGGAGTTTGTGTGTCGAGGACGTGCGGGTTTCAGGACTTCTGGGATTCGGGCTTCCGCGTGTTTGGATTTCTGGCTTCAGAACTTTGGATTTTAGTTCAGGGGCTGCCAGCAAACTTTTGGACTTTCCGAAACTGGACTTCCCACCCGCTCGCTTCGGCACCCCCTCACACCCACCGCTGAGCTGTTGTTCTGAACAGATGGAAGCAGAAGGTGTGATGTCATGGTGGATCAGCTGGAGCAGCAGCTGGAGATTCATCATGTCGAGTTTTGGTGCTGCCCTGTGAAGAGCAGCCTTGCAATTACCAACAAGGCTTCCTTCCTTTCCCAGCCTTCTCGAGCTTTGCTCTGGCAATGGCCATTCTAAGCCGAAAATCCTGCAAGGGGATTGATGGTAATCGTTGTGGCAGTGTGATGCACGCAGTGTCCGGCCCCCCAAGAGCCTGTTTCATGATGTCTCGTGCCACCGTGAACTCGGCGGCAATGATGCCCAGCAGCAAATTCTTCAACACGGCCTTCCCGAGCCTCAATGAACTAAAGGAGCACAGAAAGACGATCCCTAGCTTGCCCAGGCCCTGCCGTCGCCATTGGGGACTGCACGCGAAGGTGAGCAAGAAGTAAAAAAATCCGAAGAGTTGATTGTCCTTTGCCATACCGGTATCAAAGGCCCAACGGCGAAAGTGATGCAGGAGTTGGCATGGTGCTCGTTTGATATGCTCACCACTGCAATTCATATGTTGATGATCCTGAGCGACTTCCCGAGCAGTCCTTGCCGTGGATCTGGTTGGTGGTGATGTCGAGCCAGCCGTCTCCGGAGAAGATTGCGAGAGATGTCAGGAAGCCCATGGCCTCGAGAGATTCCGAGGCAGCGAGGTGACGCGAGGGCCATGCACGACTCGGCAGCGGACCAAGGACTCGAAACCCAGGCCGAGCTTGCCGCTCTCAACTGGGCCAGGGCTCACACACTTCGGCGTCTCATGTTTAGCCGTGTAGGCAGTGCACCGTCATCCTTGTTGAAGATCTGAAGGCCCGCTAAGCAAGAGCAGTACAGAAACCTCGTGCTGCGACCATCTCACAGATTCCACCACCAAGTCACAGGGCAATGTCCAGTTTTTCTCGGTTTTTTCAGGCGTGGACAGAATGACGATCATGGAGAAGTAGAGCGTGGGTGTCACTGCCTCTTCGCAGATCAAGAGTCTTTCGTCGCGGGGCGGTCTCGGTTTGGGAAAAATGCGAGCAGTGCGAGGCCACGCGAGGCCTTCTGAAAGACCATCAGGAGGATTCGGAAGTTCCTCAGTGACAGAACGTATACCGACAGTGCTACAAGGTCAGTCGTCTTGGCCGAGGCCTGCAAGTCCACAAGGCCAAAGCTAACAGCATGCAAGCCACATGCTCATGTGGATCATTCGGAAGATTCGCAAGAGCCTTGCCGTTCTCAGGGCAGACCTTGGAAAAGCTCGAGACATTCAAGTACTTTTCATGCAGCTGTAAGAAGAGAACAGTCTGACAGTCTGGGGACGCTGCAGTGCAGACCCTCCGCTCAGAAAGAGCTCGACCACAGACAACATGACCAGGAGAAAATCAAACCTGAAGAAGGTTCTGGGCTCTCAGCCATCTTCTTGCACCTCTCAAGAAGTGCATGCAGCCTGTTTCCGTTGTCTTCGAAGAAGGACACACCCACTCCCATGATCTTGATGCACACCTGTGTCGAGCGGGCTGATCAATCTGCACGAGCCGTCCAGACACCTGGCCTCGAAGAAGAAGATGACAGAACACAAGAAGTTGATGTTGTCGAGGATTAGGAGCACCGTGTCGTCCTTGGCGGCCCGCCCGTCTTCAGTCAGGCCAACCCCCTTGCTGACAAGAGGCATAAGGGGGATAGATGTCAAAGCACATGCACACCGCATTGAAGAGGATGATGAAATTCATCACTCGTGAGAACCTACCAAGCTCAAGGCGAAGCACGAAGCCGGGGAGCACTGCAAAGGGCGCACCATGGGCTGGTGATCATGCTGTAGCAAATGTTCTTGAGCCCCATCGACCGCAGCTCCTGCGACTGCGTTGAGGTCTGATGCGGCAGGCCAAGGCGGCAGCCGGAGTCCGGTCCGTATCCAGCACTTGAAAAGCCTGGGCCGCTGCCAGTTCGACCTTCGGAGCACAGAGTCCGGGACCTAGGAGAAGGCCCCAGCAGTTGGAGGGGAGAACCAGCCGCGCCTCCAACTTCTGGACGGAACTTACCTTGCTGGGCTTCAACGTGTGTGTAGGCACTCGAAATTTGGACAACATGACCGAAATCGATAGTATCTGGGTGCCAGACAAGGGCATGCAGTGGCATCTGCTGGATGTCTGGTGTGATCACCGGCTTTGGATTCATGCGCTTGGCCTGCATCCGTGGCTTCAAGTTCTCCGGGATGGATCTGGAAGGGTTTGACGACACGCACACACTTGCCAGCAAGGTTAGCATGTTCCGAGGTAGACGATGGTTTCAGCTTCTTTTGCAGCCCTCAGAACAGAGAGAAAATGAATCTTCATGCATATGGTTTCTATATATATATATATATACATCTTATGAAAATCTATCTAAAGATGTCTGTATTTAGTTGCTTATATGCGGCTGTTCATTTAGTCACTCTTTCGATTGCTTGCTGATGTTCATGCTTATCTACTTCGTCTGCTCATATATATACATATATATATATA